AAACCTTTAAAGTAAATCTTCTTCTGTTGCTAGCGTAGAAGGAAAAACCTTACTTAAAAAGAATCCAATATTTTCTTCTTAGTGCACAAGTTGATCATATAAGTAGTGTTTCCTAATTCTTTGGAACTTTTAACAGTGCAAATATAAATGTAGTAGCATGAGAAATACGGATTTTTTTTTTTAATATTAAGTTGACACACCTTGGCTTTATTTTGCTGAATGATTTATTGTAGGTCTACTGTGATTATCATGGTCATTCTCGTAAAAAGAATGTGTTTATGTATGGCTGCAGCATCAAGGAGACAATGTGGCACACTAACGTTAGTGCTGCTTCTTGTGACCTGATGGAAGACCCTGGTTACAGGGTAAGTTTGACTTTCATAGCTTTGACTTTTGGCATCAATTGGTAATATACATATTCTGTGCACATACGGGGCTTTACAGCATAACTAGGCTTATTTAGAATGATCTCTCTTAAGTTTATGAACGTGTTTCACAATATTTTGAGAGTTTAAAATGCTGCTCTAATGTAGCTTAAGAATTTACTCTTAGTACAGTGATTCATCCTTTTTGGTAGCATTGCACGCGTTTTGTGGTCAATGTTACCTTGCAGTGAATGGGAAATATGCTTCTGCGCCTTTGTAATTAGTGGAAGAAAGAGGAATCACTTAAGCATGGCAAAGAATATTCTAGAACCAAGAAAAAAAAGGAAGTACTGTATTGCTCTGGGACACATCCCGCATTTTTGGGTATGGGAGGCAAGGATCCTCTTAAAAAGATGTGTAGTTAATGCATGTGCCCCTAAAGCATACATGCAATAGACTTGGACAAACAACATTCAGTGCATTGTATAAGCTTTTAGGAATTTGTAGAATGTTAATTATCTGTAAGTTTCTTCTGTGTAACCTCACTGCCGCCTTGTGGCAATTGCAAATCTGTGCAACTTAGCATCTCAAATGCATTTCTGTAATGCAGTTACACTCATTAGGCACGTGAATGCTTGTTAAAAGGCTTGACATGCGTCTGAAGACTGTAAATGAGTATAAATGCTTTTAGATTTTTCTCAAATCTGCCCCACTTTTTAAAATAATTCTGTTGCTATTTGATTGTTTCACGTATAATTTCCTGGATCCTGAGTCTGATGTCATTCACGCTTGCTGCCCTACTTATTTGTATGGGGTCTTGTCATTTACACCTGCATTATCATAACATAGGAAAGATGGCAGACAGTAAGTGTTGTGGGGGGAAAAGCCTGCAATTACAATGATACATGAGCTACTGAGATAGTAAATTTGAAGTGGTGATGTATTTTGAGTTAACTGGTACAAATAAAAGCTGAACCAGAAGCTTTTGAAGGAGTTGAAGAGTTTAAGATTAGTTATACAATGCATGTATTTATTTGCATAACTTTCTTGTCATTTTCTAAAGCTGTCATGTGAACAATTATATTGAACTTTAATCAAATAATTTGTTGGAAATTAAGTATGCGCTGAATGCTCTGCTGAATAGGGATGAATTTTATGTATTAATAGAATATTGTCTATATTAGGTCTACAAATTGGATTATTGAACCAGTATAAAATCTGAATTACACTTCTCTTAATTACATGGGATATGTATTACGCTTAATTTGAGCAAACGTAACGGGATGAATTAGGAGGGGGTGGGAATTGTTTAAAGAATTCTTTTGTGTCCTGATTCTTATGCACACGACTAATGCTTCATTTTAGCAATTGGGGCTACAAAGGAGGATTTAAACAGGTAGGAAATGACAAGCCTATTGTCACCTGAGCCCACTGGCTTTTGAAAACTACAGCTGAAGAGTGTTTTCATGATTCTTGGAATTCCAACTTGAGCAAAGTTCTTTGATTTTCTGTATTAAAGAAAGAAAGGAAAAAAAAAAAATCACAAATCGCTGTCTCTTTCAATTTTCACTCCTGCAGGCGCTCCCTAAGATCCTCAGTCAGACTGCCCCAGCATTCTGTATGGGCAGCTGCAGCTTTGTGGTGGAAAAGTCCAAAGAATCAACAGCACGAGTTGTTGTCTGGAGGGAGATAGGAGTACAAAGGAGCTACACAATGGAGAGCACGTTATGTGGATGTGACCAGGGCAAATATAAGGTAAGGAACCGTATCGTTTGAATGGTTCTTGTACTGTGATTTCTACCATGTGCGCTGGTGCATTGATATCGTATTCAATAATCCAGCTTGCTTGCATTCTTTTACTTTCTGAAATTCCTAAAGTCTTTGTGTACTCTAATGGTACAGTGAAATAATGGTATGTGCAATATTGTAGGTTGCATAACGGTCTGCATCTGTCACTTAAAATAATACCACTGCATAATGTGCTATGCTTTTTGGCTGTATTAACAAGACTAATAGTAGTGATTGCTTATGAAAAATGTAAATGCATGTATTAAAAATAACTCAGAGAACTGTTCTTTCCATTAGATTATTAAAATTGGGTAGTAATACGTGCAAGCACTAGAATAAAAGTTTTCTTTCTACATGGTGGCTTGAGACTTCATTGTATCAATTCATGGATGTTCA